CAGCTCACTGCAAGCTCCACCTCCCGGGTTCACGCCATTCTCCTGCCTCAGCCTCCCGAGTAGCTGGGACTACAGGCGCCCGCCACCGCTCCCGGCTAATTTTTGTATTTTTTTAGTAGAGACGGGGTTTCACGTGTTAGCCAGGATGGTCTCGATCTCCTGACCTCGTGATCCACCCACCTCGGCCTCCCAAAGTGCTGGGATTACAGGCTTGAGCCACCGCGCCTGGCCACTTCCACTCTTCACCCAGAGGAAAGAGAGCGCATTCTTGCAGCCGCCAGGCAGCATGCAGACCAGTTACACTTAACTGACCTGGCCAGCCCAGTAGGCGAACAAGCTGGCCCATCTACAGATCCTGAGTGGGACTACCAACCTCAACAACCCGGGCATCGCAGAAGAGACCTAATGATACAATGCCTCTTAGCTGGCATGCAGGCAGCCTCTAACAAAATGATAAATTTTAATAAGTTACAGGAGGTTATTCAATACTCAGAGGAAAATCCTGCCTCCTTTTTAAATCGCCTTACAGAGGCACTTGTCCAATTCACCCGACTGGATCCCACCTCTCCGGCAGGAGCTACTGTCCTTGCCACTTATTTTATTTCCCAGTTGGCCCCCGAAATCCGAAAAAATTAAGAAAGGCAGAGGACGGACCTCAAACCCCCATTCAGGACTTAGTCACGCTAGCTTTCAAAGTTTTTAACTCTAGAGAGGAAAGAGTTGAGGCTCTTCGAGAAGCCAGAGTAGAACAGAAGGCCGCCCTTCAGGCACGAGCTTTAGTGGCTGCCCTCCAACCCGCGTTGCCCACTTTGCCGGCAGGGAAAACCAAAGATAAGTCTCTTAAGGGCTCCTGCTATAAATGTGGAGACCCAGGACGCTGGGCAAACCAGTGTCCCCAGGCCAAGCCGGCCACTCTGTCTGGTCCATGCTTTAAGTGTGGCACAACTGGGCATTGGGCAAAAAGGTGTCTAAATCCTTGCCCGCCTACCACGCCGTGCCCAACCTGCCAACAGGAAGGACACTGGAAGTCTGATTGCCCTGCCAGCAGGGCAGGCATTGCTCCTCAACGTGGTGCCTCTCCTCAAAGGCCGGAAGGCTCCTTCCAGCTCCTACACCTGGACGACGACTGACGGTGCCCACAGTCGGAGACCCCGGTCACCCTCGCCGAGCCTAGGGTAACTCTACAGATAGCAGGTAAGCCAATTTCTTTTCTCATCAGTACGGAGGCTACCTATTCTGTTTTGTCAACCTATGGAGGTTCTAGCCAGCCATCCACTATCTCAGTAGTTGGGGTAGATGGTAAACCATCTAACCCTCGCCAGACCCCAATGTTAAATTACTACCTGGACTATGCATGCTTTGCCCACTCTTTCCTATCATGCCCTCTTGTCCCACCCCCCTCTTGGGACGAGACATCTTAACCTAACTCAAAACATCTATTCCCCTCCCTTTCTCCAGGTGACCAGGTTCTACTCAAGGATCAACACCCTCCTCAAATTCTCCCGCTTTCTCACTATTCTCCATCTCAACTTAACTGAATTTCCCCTCATAGACCCTCTAGAAACCTTCCTTCCCGACCCTTCCCCCGACCAGTAGGTTTCCCGAATTTTTACTCTCATAGAGGACATAGCTTGGCAGCGTGCCCTTTGTGATTTCAGCAATGTTGAACTTACCCTCTACACCTTTGTTACCACTGTTATGGTTCACTCTAATTATTCCTGCTAGCCTCACTAATCCTAAATTTGTATGGAGATTTTCTATAACTGAAACCTGGTCTACTGACAACCAGGCTTACTCACAAACGCAAGGTACTGCAGATTGCTCCCCCCAGGGCTGTCAAGCTGCCCTCCTTCTCAACTTTCACCTGAGTTCTGTCGGCAACTACGACCGCCCAGTCATATGTTTCTTGTACGACCAAACGGAATATAATTGTAAGAACTACTGGCAAGAAACCAACCTGGGGTGTCCATACAACTATTGCAACATGCATGAGATAGGTTTAATGTGTGCAAATGGCATTTGCACCCCCAATGATCGACCTTTTGTAAGAAATAGAACATTAGGAGGATATATTCTTAATATTAAGGATCCCTGGGACCCCCGGTGGGCTCAGGGAGTTAAAGGTGGACTATATGCAACATCTTGGTCCTCATATTCCACCGCAACCCTCCAAATAAAGAGAGTATACGTGCAACAAGTACCCCTCCCTAAGAGTAAACAAGTACATCTTCCTAAGAGTGTACAGGCCCTACAAAATTTAACCTCAGTTGTAAAATCTCATGAACAGAAAATACAGAAGCTGTTAAGCCCCCAAGCCCCCCTAACAATGAGGACCCATTCTCATGGCTAACACTTATTCGCCAGGGACTTGACTTAACCCAGGCTGCTGGAGTAAGGACCCTCTCCCACTGCTTCCTTTGCGCTGCGCTCGGAAAAGCTCCCTTAGTGGCAGTCCCACTACCAACCGCTTTCAATATCACCACCGACTCTACCAGCTCCTCTCAAGCAACATCCTTGCCTCAAGTCCCATTATACCGTAATCCACAGAGTCAAACCCTTCCTTTTTGCTACTCTACTCCAAACTCTTCGTGGTGTGATTGCGCACAAGCTCCCAGCAGGACCCAGACGGCCCACGTTGGCGGCTACTTCTGGTGCAACCAAACTCTATCTAAAACTCTTAACCATACCCCCATCACCCAATCCCTTTGCGTTCCGGTATCTTTAGTGCCTAGCTTAATCCTATATAGCGAAGGAGAATTGTCTGAACTAGCTTCCCAGCTCAGCCCCAGCAATAACATCCAAAAGCGGGCCGTTTTTCTTCCCTTAGTTATCGGGGTTTCCATAGCATCGTCCCTAGTAGCCTCAGGACTTGGAACAGGGGCCCTCACCCACTCGATTCAATCCACACAGACCCTCTCCACTCAGGTCCAGGCAGCCATAGAGGCTTCAGCTGAAAGCTTAGCCTCTTTACAACGTCAAATCACCTCAGTGGCCCAGGTAGCAGCACAAAATAGACAGGCATTAGATCTTCTTACTGCTGAAAGAGGGGGAACATGCCTCTTCCTAGGGGAGGAGTGTTGCTGCTACGTAAATGAATCAGGCCTGGTTGACACCAACGTCCAAACATTAAACAAGATCAAAAAGGAGCTTCAGCAATTTAACACCCCCTTAACCCCCGGACCACCGGTATGGCTGCTGCCTGTAGTACAGCAGATGCTTCCATTCCTAATTCCCATACTAATCCTCTGCCTGATGTTATGTCTTGCTCCCATTCTAATAAAATTTCTCCAAGCCAGGGTCCAAGAGATCACCCGAGTCACCTTCAACCAAATGCTCCTGCATCCCTACACCCAACTGCCAACCTCAGACCCTAACTACGCCCCTTAACAGCAGGAAGTAGCCAGACAGACCACGGTGCCCTAAATTCTTATGATCAATAAGAAGTTGGACTGTTTGGGTGAGGGAGAAGGGACAAGATGGAGGAAGGTGAACAAGATGGAGCAGTCCCTGTTGTTTCTGGGTTCTTCATCACAGATTTTCCCGCGCCCGGGAAAAGAACCAAATCAACTGAGCATGCTCAGAGTGACGTCAAGCCGGGGACACTGAAATTCAAGAAGCCACTCCTACACACACGCCCCAAACTCCTCCCCTTCCAGCTCCCAGGCATAAAAGTGTGACTTCCTCGGCCCCCGCATTCGTGGACCAGAGAACCTCACCCGAGAGCGCCGGCGCGACTTCCCTGGCCCCCCCACACCTGAGGACCAGAGAACCTCGCCCGAGAGTGTGTGCATATTTGCAATAAAAGTCTGCCACTTTCTTATGTACTTTGGCCTCATGTTTAATTATTTAGCTCTCCTAAATTAAATTAAACAAAACAGCTGGGACTACAGGTGCCTGCCACCATGCCCAGCTAATTTTCTATATTTTTAGTAGAGACAAGTTTTCACCGTGAAATCCTGGTTTAGCCACGATGGTCTTCATTTCCTGACCTTGTGATCCGGCCACCTTGCCTTCCCAAAGTGCTGGGATTACAGGTGTGAACCACCGCGCCCAGCCTGTTTTGAGTTTTCAAAAGGTGTCTTTTAATGATTTTTGCCTCCCCTCCCCCTTTTTCAAGGACTCCAGTGCACAGGACTAGGTAAATTATGATTGTTGCTTCATGAGGCACTGTCATCATTGCTTCATGCAGAACTTGCTTTTCTTTCTTTGTATTATATTTTGAACCTTCATTGATATGGTTATTATAGCTACACTACCTCCCAAACATAATGGCATAAAACATGCATTCATTATGCTCACAGATTCTGTGGGGTTAGCAATTTGGCTAGAACACAGTGGGGAAGGCCGGTCTGTGCTCTATGAAGTCTGGGGCCTCAGTTGGAAGGCTTAGAAGTCTGAGGCTGGAATCGTATGAAGTTTGCTCACTCGTAGGTCTGGGAGTTTATGCTGGCTGTCCTCTGAGACCTTAGCTGAGGTTGTTAGCAGAAACACCTACATGTGGCTTTCCTTGTGGCCTGGGCTTTCTTACTACATGGTCGCTGGGTTCCAGAGCAGGTGTCTCAAGAGAAAGTGAGCCAAGAGAAAGTTGTATTTTCTTTTTAATGACCTAGCCTTGTAGTAAGATGGGACAGTACTGTGTTCACCCCTGTTCCACATTGATTTTCCTGGGATATTTCTTTTTATCACAGCCACTCCTGAGAAACCCGTCTTAACAAAGATAGAATGTCATTGATAGGAATGGGGCAAAATACAATTGGCCCTCTGTATGCACTGGTTCTGCATCCACAGATTCAACCAACATCTGATTGAAAATATAAAAAAAGAAAAAATACAGTATTATAATACGGTACTACTTACATAATTAGGTATTATAAGTAATCTAGAGATGATTTAAAAGTATTCGGGAGGATGTGCATTACTTATATGCAGGTACTCTGCCTTTTTATATAAGGGGCTTGTGCATCCATCCTGGGGGTGGGGCAGAGCTGTTCCTGGAAATAATGCCCGTGTCCCATGGCCCCACCTCCCCCAACCCCTGCATATATGGACTGCTGTAATGTTACTGTGAACTGCTTAGTTCACATAATTACTGACAGACGTGGTTGTATTTTCCTGTGGTGACCCAGAGTGCCTTAGGGCACAGTTTGGGAACCAGGGTCCCAAGTGGAGAGCTTGTGTCTTCTCCGCTCATCTTTAGCTAAGGTAGATTCAAGGCTGGGATCTGGAATTGTCTGAAGGCCCTTTTCCAGTGGTTGACACTGGCTGTTGGCTGAGGCTTTATTTCGGGCTCTTGGCCAATACACTTACCCATGGCCTTTCTATGTGACCTGGGCTTCTTGCCTGGTAGCTGGGTTCCACAGACAAATGTTTTGAGGGATCAAACTGAAAGCTGTATGACATTATTTGATCTAGCCTCAGAAGTCACAGTGTGTTACTTCTATCTTGTTCCATTCATCAAGGCAGTCACAAAGTTTCCCCTGGTTGTCAGGGAGGGAAGATAGATTCTCTCTCGATGGATATGTGGCAATGTTTTGGAAGAGCATATGGGACCAGAAGTAATGCTGTCACTATTTTCTGAAAGTATAATCTGCTTTGATTATACATCTGGTACTTGATAACTGTAGAATGTCAGCTATATTGTAGGCAACATTTTCATGACAAAATTGACCCCTAATTGATTGATTGCATTTGGCCTAGGAGAACTATGGGTACCTGATGGGGATACCATATTTAGGACTTAAATGCAGTGATTCTTCTTCTTCTTTGTTTTTTGAGTTGAAGTCTCACTCTGTCGCCCAGGCTGGAGTGCAGTGGTGCCATCTCGGCTCACTGCAAGCTCTGCCTCCCAGGTTCATGTGATTCTCCTGCCTCAGCCTCCCAGGTAGCTGGGACTACAGGCATGTGCCACCGCGCCTGGCTAATTTTTTTGTATTTGTTTTTTTTTTTTAGTAGAGATGGTGTTTCACCATGTTAGTCAGGATGGTCTCAAACTCCTGACCTTAAGTGATCCACCTGCCTTGGCCTCCCGAAGTGCTGGGATTATAGGTGTGAGCCACTGTGCCCAGCTAAAAGCTTTTTCTTATGAAAAATTTGAAACATATGCAAAGAACATAAAATGATATAATCCCTTTCTACCATTGCCCAACTTCAGCAGTGATCAACATTTTGCCATTCTTGTATCATCTATGCCTTCACCCAGTTTCTGTCTCCTACTTGATAATGATTTATGGTTCTTTTTTTTTTTCAGGTAAAATGTACATATATTAAAGTGTACAAATCTCAGCTGTAGGATTTTGACAACCGGATAAGCCACACACTTACCAAGACACTATGTTTTTCATTTTCACCCTCCCAGTCAATAGCCATCTGTCCTGAGGCAGTTGCTGTTTTGATCTTTTCTTTTTTTTCACCTCAGATTAATGTTGCCTGTTCTGGAACTTGATATAAAAGGAATCATACAGAATTTTATTTATTTATTTATTTATTTTTATTTATTTATTTTTATTTATTTATTTTTCTTTGAGACGGAGTCTCGCTCTGTCGCCCAGGCTGGAGTGCAGTGGCCAGATCTCAGCTCACTGCAAGCTCTGACTCCTGGGTTTACGCCATTCTCCTGCCTCAGCCTCCCGAGTAGCTGGGACTACAGGCGCCTGCCACCTCGCCCAGCTAGTTTTTTGTATTTTTTAGTAGAAACGGGGTTTCACCGTATTAGCCAGGATGGTCTCGATCTCCTGACCTTGTGATCCGCCCGTCTCGGCCTCCCAAAGTGCTGGGATTACAGGCTTGAGCCACCGTGCCTGGCCTATTTTTTTTTTTTTTTTTAAGAGAGAGTCTAGCTCTGTCGCCCAGACTGGAGTGCAGTGGTACAATGTCGGCTTGCTGCAACCTCCATCTCCTAGGTTCAAGCAATTCTCACGTCTCCGGAGTAGCTGGGATTACAAGCATGTGCCACCACGCCTGGCTAATGTTTGTATTTTATATTCTTTGTTTCCAGCTTCTTTCACTTGATCTAATGTTTATGAAAGTCATTCATGTTGGCATGAGCTGAGCACTCTTCCATTGTCTGGATATATCACAATTTGTTCTTCTATTCTAGTGATAGACCTTTAGGTTAGTTCCAGTAAAGCTTCTGTGAACTGGTTAACCTGCCTTTATATTTGCTTGCAATATATATTGCTTTTAAAATACAATAGCATTTCATTAAAAATTCCACTAATTTATAATTTTTGAGGCTGATCTGTCCCTCACCCCTCCACCTTAATATATTGTTCTGAGTAAGTGTTGTACTTCAGCAAATATCCATTAATTTTAACATTTAACCTTTCAGAGTTTATTTCAAAGTTTATAGAAAATGGGTACCTAATAGTTGAGAATTCTTGCTTTTGCCAGAAATTGAATTGAATACTTTTTTGAACACCAAAGTTTTCCCCCCAAAATCACTTTACCTGTCACTAAACTAATGAACTAATGGCATAATAAGCAATCTCTCTCCTTCTTTCCCTACTTCCCTCTCTCCTTCCCTCCCTCCCTCCCTCCCTTCCTTCCTTCCTTCCTTCCTTCCTCTCTTTCTCTCTCTGTCTTTCTTTTTTTGAGATGGAGTCTCGCTCTGTCTCCCAGGCTATAGTGCAGTGGCATGATCTTGGTTAACTGCAACTTCCACCTCCTGGGTTCAGGCAATTCTCTTGCCTCAGCCTCCCAAGTGAGTAGCTGTCACTACAGGTGCATATTACCACACCCAGCTAATTTTTGTATTTTTAGTAGAAATGAGGTTTCACCATGTTGGCCAGGCTGGTCTCGAACTCCTGACCTCAAGTGATCCACCTGCCTCGGCTGCCCAAAGTGCTGGGATTACAGGTGTGAGCCACCGCACCTGGCCAATCTCTCTTTTTTATTTCTCATTTGTTTTCCATTTTCTTTTTCAGAACTGAGCCCCTGAGTCCTGAGTTGGTGGCAGCTGCATCTGCTGTGGCAGATTCTCTCCCTTTTGACAAGGAAACCACCAAGTCAGAGCTGCTGAGGCAGCTCCAGCAGCATGAGGAAGCGTCAAGGGCACAGAGAGATGCAAAGCGACCTAAAATTAGGTGAGTGAATTTAAACCTTTAGGTCAGTAATGTTTGTATCTCAAAATGGCCATTTTCATGTGGCTAGTGGGTAATGCACGTAGTATATACCACATACATGGAATTTGTATATAAAATGTATGGCATAATTTTAGCAATTCAATTTTTTTAAAAAACTTAAGACATAAGTATGACTATCGTTTTTAAGAAACCAACTGAATGAAGTTTCCTTTTAGGCAGTTACAGTTTCTCGTCCATGAAAATAGAAATGGTAAATTCAGTAATGTCATTACAAATAAATAACAGAATAAGGTAGCTTCTCTGAGAAAAGTATTTTTTTTTTCAGTTAAATAGCTTGTTTTATGCACAGTAAGGTAATCTTCAGGTCTGTTTCCTTCTCTTTTTCCTCCTATTCTTATATTTCAGCTGATATCTTTCCACGTATTCTCTTCGTCTCTCATTATTTTATGCGATGTTATACTACTTGCTGCTTACTTTATAGTACATGGTAACACAGCTTTATTTTGTAGAGTGATCTGAACCAGGTGTTCTCAATGAGCATGTGTACCAGGTTTATTTCAAGAAGTGAAAAGCAATGGCCATATGCGCTGGCTCATGCCCATGATCCCAGCACTTTGGGAAGCTGAGGCGAGAGGATCACTTGAGTCTAGGAATTTGAGATCATCCTGGGCAACAAAGCAAGACCCCATCTCTACAAAACATAAAAAAATTAGCTGGGCACTGTGGCTTGTGCCTGTAGTTCTAGCTACTTTGGAGGCTGAAGCAGGAGGATCACTTAAGTCCAGGGTTTGAAGCTGCACTGAGCTGTGATCTCACCACTGCACTCCAGCCTGGGCGATAGAGTGAGACCCTATCTCTAAAATAAATAGTAATTTTTTTAAAAAGGAAGACATAGATATCTGGACTGTCAGTTCAGTGACTCATTTTGTTTGTGTTTGAATAAATACAAAGCAGCAAATAGATATGGCTAACTCTTGGTTTTAATTTAGTTATCGAATGTAGATGATAGGTATACAGATACTGATTTTACTTTCCTATCATTTTCTTTGAATAACTTTTCATGAGACACTTATGATTTCAATGAATATTTCTGAAAAACGTCTTTAAATTAAAAGATGAAAGTAAACATGAATTGTAATGTTCTGTGTTATGTGAATGTTAATAGGTGACTTTTTTTTTTTTTTTTTTTTTTTGAGACGGAGTCTCACGCTGTTGCCCAGGCTGGAGTGCAGTGGCGCGATCTCGGCTCACTGCAAGCTCCGCCTCCCGGGTTTACGCCATTCTCCTGCCTCAGCCTCCCGAGTAGCTGGGACTACAGGCGCCCGCACCGCGCCCGGCTAGTTTTTTGTATTTTTTAGTAGAGACGGGGTTTCACCGTGTTAGCCGGGATCGTCTCTCGATCTCCTGACCTCGTGATCCGCCCGTCTCGGCCTCCCAAAGTGCTGGGATTACAGGCTTGAGCCACCGCGCCCGGCCTGTAGCTAAGATTTCTAATACACTTTTTATTATTTCAGTCTCAGTAACATAATGTCAGATATGAATGTTGCCAGATCTGCTACAGATAGAGTTCGGTAGAGTTCGTTCAAGACCAGAGCATCAGATTCAGTTTGAGGAAGGCTATGACAATTATCCTGGTCAGGAGAAGACTGCTGATCTTACAAAAAGGTATCAGGCTTTGCAATCTGCTGGGTTTTGTTTGTGTAGTTTGTTTTTACCTTAACTGTAAACTTTTACCTTATTGCGTGTATTATTGCTGTTGGATATCTGAGCATTATGAATGTATTTACATCTGTGCTCTTACTCTCTGTATACCACTTCCTAGAGAGGGAACCGTGTGCTGGATTTAGTCAGTCCTGCAGTTTTCCATACCTTAAATCAAAATGGGCTATGCTTCACATCTACCCACGATGAACAGGGGTCCTTTGATTTAGAATAAGAGGAACTGACTCAATTCTGAACAAAGAAGTGTTTTGTGAGAAACATTATTTTTCATTTGAATATCAGTGTCTAATACTGTGTATTCATATCCCCTTTATATCTCAATACATGCTTATCTTTTGGTGTACCTTAGAGAAATGACCCACCATCAATGAAAAGAAGGAAAGGCAAGAGGGAAAAAAGTTTATGTGATACCTTAAAGTGGTAGATTACTTGTGGCCATTTGAATTTACTGATTTGAAGTTCTTAAAGATGCTGAGCCATGCCTTACAAAGTTATTTTAGAATCTAAAGTTGTTCTGTATTTGTATGAAGTTATGAAGGGGTGGCCTGCCCCTCCACACCTGTGGGTGTTTCTCATTAGGTGGAACGAGAGACTTGAGAAAAGAAATAAGACACAGAGACAAAGTATAGAGAAAGAAAAGCGGGGGCCCAGGGGACCGGCGCTCAGCTTACAGAGGACCCACGCCGGCACCGGCCTCTGAGTTCCCTTAGTATTTATAGATAATTATCTTTACCATCTTAAAGATAAGGGAGTGGCAGGACAATAGGATCATTTTTAGGGAGGAAATTAGCAGTAAGACATAAGAACAAGGATCTGTGACATGAGTAAGTTTAAAGGAAAATCCTGTGCCTTGAGATAAACCTTTTAGCAACATTGTTTCATCCTATCACATGGGGATAAACCTTGGACAATACCTAGCTTTTCTAGGAACAAAGTCACACCCTGCACGCCCAAAATCCATTAAACCACAGCACATGTCTCTTGCAAGGACAAGGTTGGGGGTAGGGTCACAGATTAACAGCATCTCAAATACAGAACAAAATGGAGTCTCTTATGTCTACTTCTTTCTATATAGACACAGTAACAGGCTGATCTCTCTTTCTTTTCCCCACATTTCCCCCTTTTCTTTTCAACAAAACCACCATTGTCATCATGACACCGAGATTACATACTTCACAAAGTAACAGAATATCACAAAGCAAGTGGAGGCAGGATGAGATCACAGGATGGTGTTAAAATTAAAATTTTTGGGCATGCATAGTCATGGATAACATCTTATCAGAAAACAGGGTTTGAGAGCAGACAACCTGTCTGACCAAAATTTATTAGGTGGGAATTTCCTCGTCCTAATAAGCCTGGGAGCGCTACAGGAGGCCGGGGCTTATTTCATCCCTTCGGCTTCAACCGTAAAAGGCGGCACACGCCTCCAAGGGGGTCGTTTATAGGCCTACCCTCAGAGCGCATTCTCTTTCTCAGGGGTGTTCCTTGCTGAGAAAAAGAATTCAGCGATATTTCTCCTATTTGCATAATGAAAAGAGAAGAAATATGGCTCTGTTCCGTCCGGCTCACCGGCGGCCAGTTCAAGGTTGCCTCCCTTGTTCCCTGAACATTGCTGTTATCCTGTTCTTTCTCCAAGATGCCCAGATTTCATATTGTTCAAACACACATGCTCCACAAACAATTTGTGCAGTTAAGGCAATCATCACAGGGTCCTGAGGTGACATATATCCTCCTCAGTTTACAAAGAAGATGATAGAATTAAGAGATTAAAGTAAAGACAGACATAAGAAATTACAAAAGTATTAATTTTGGAGAACTAATAAATGTCCATGAAATCTTCACATTTTATGTTTTTCTGCCGTGGCTTCAGCCAGTCCCTGCGTTCAAGGTCCCTGACTTCCCGCAACGTTCTCCCTCCCTTTTCCTCTATATAAATGTGCCATGGCGATGAAGGCTTGTTCGTTAGTCAATGGTGCTCGATTGCGGTGTTTCCGTCTCCGTGGAGGCGCTTTTCTTTGCATCTCTGATGGGTTCATTGTAGAACTTCAAATGTTTAGTGGGTATCCAAACAGGAAGCTGATTTGCTCCTGGTGAAACACAAGCAAAACCTCTTCCCCAGGTTATCACCTTCCCTATTTCCCGTGTCTTATTTTTGTTGTCTTTCCACCAAATCAGTTTTCCTTCATGTGGACTGTTCTTTTTACCAGTAAGATGTTGTTCTGCAGAAGTAGTAGTCTGATTTCTATAAATGTTTAAAAAATTTAAAGTATAGAGTGCTAGATTAAGCTGCATCTGAGGAGTGGTACACTCCTTACTGTCTCCCCCTTTTTTTTGTTTAACTAACTGAGTTTTAAGTGTTCTATTAGTTCTTTCAACTATGGCCTGTCCATGAGAATTATAAGGAATTCCTGTTGTATGTGTAATATTCCACTGATTTAAGAATTTTTGGAAAGCTTTACTACAATAACCTGGTCCATTGTCAGTTTTAATTTTTTCTGGAACTCCCATTACAGCAAAACAAGATAATGAATGTTTTTTAACATGGGAAGTACTTTCTTGATTATCTGGTCCTAAACAATGTAAAATCATTGTACTTTCGTACACTTCTGAAGCTGTGCCTACGCCGACAAGTCTTGTAACAGCCTTTTGTTTAGGCCAATTTTTTGGCCATTGATTTAAAGCAATGACAGAGATATCTGCTCCAGTGTCTACCAACCCTTCAAACTGTTTTCCTTGAATAATGGCCTTACACACAGGTCTGCTCTCAGAGACCAGATTTGCCCAATATGCAGCCTTTCCTGCCGGATCAGTGCTTCCGAACCCTCCTGTTCTTTTTATCTCACTGTTTCCAACTTTAATATAAGGTAGGAGTAATAATTGAGCAATCCTGTCTCCTGGACTGGCACTCCAAGGAACTGAGGAACTAATAACCAATTGAATTTCGCCTTTATAGTCTGAATCAACCACACCAGTATGAATTTGAACTCCTTTTAGATTTAAACTTGATCTTCCTAAAATTGGTCCTACAGTCCCCTCAGGCAATGGGCCATATACCCCTGTGGGGATTTTTCGAGGAGGCTCCCCTGGAAGCAGAGAGACTGCTTGTATGGTGCATAAATCTACTGCTGCACTGCCGTTTGTGGCGGGGGATAATTGCTGTATTGTGATAACTGGCTTATTCCCTGAGACACTTGTGGCAGTGGGGGTTGTTGTTCCTGAAAACCCTGAGGAACAAAGGGCTGAATTTGGAATGCCCCAGTTTGTTGCGGGGCCTGAGG